CTTATTCCTTTACTCCTATAATAACCTAAGCATTAAGTATATATATTGAATCCACCATGAATTTGTCTTTATAACAGCCACAGTGACACGAATGCTCTTGTCTTTCCACGGCCTCTTGATGTAATTACGTTACTTTAACCTTTTATTTTTAAGCCGATTGTTTTTCATCAATGGATCTGTGTGTTTGAGGGTGGCTGGAAGAGGGCTGTCAGCACTCAGCTTAGGACCAACAAACACAACGCACACTCTGACCCCGGCTGTCCATCACACACGACCTTCCCTCCCCCCTAAAGAGTGTGTAGGTATGCTAATTCACTCCCGTCTAATGGAGCTGAGGGGGATCCTACATGCAGGTGCTTGTGTGTGTAAGTGAGAGAATAAGAAAGCCAAAGAGAGGAATTGGTTTTTATTAAATGTAGACCCATAAATCAACCCTTTTTGGAACAAGAGATGTGAGATATTCTTTTTCTCTTTGCCCCTATCTCTGACAGTGGGATAGATGGTTCTTACCTCTTTTTGCTTCCTGTGTATGACAGGTTATCACTCCTGGGACAGAGTGGAGAATAAGGAGAGTGATGGAGGGAGAATGATGCTCCGTGGCTGATGTATCGGATGGCAGATGAGGGGCTGGGGGGGAGAGAAAAAGAGTGATTTAGCGCCGGCCTGTTCTCCCCTCTCCTCTTATCCCTGGCCCGCTTCTTTCATGTCTCAACCCGAGGGTCGACCCGCCTGCTGCCCCAGATGGTGCTGTCTGTCTGGGCTGCCCTCTACAGGATGTGCCCCCCATCACCCCCACCACTACAGACCTATACTCGCTTAATTGATTTCAGGGGGGAAGGCCCTGTTTCTCTTCTGTTTCACACACACACACACACGACTTGCCAACAGCTAGTGCCCCCATTACACACACACATACACGCGGCTGGTGCTGTGCGCTGTCAACGCTAATTCAATTTGAGACGCGGGAGTGTGACTAACAGCAGACCTGCAGAGTGTTTTACCATATGCACAACACACACACACACACACTCCTAACAGATCACTCCACACACACACATTGCTCTCTCACGTCCACTGGTATAATAATAATGAAGGTCCAGAGGTATAAATACAGTTAATAGATTTCCTCTCTTCCTGTTTCTCTCATTATCATCCTGTCATCAAGTACTGAGTAAAGCTTTATTAATCCCTTCAACTTCAACTGCCTAATCCAGAATGAATTTACAAAACCAGCACAAGTGTGACACACTGTTATGGCATGTTAATGTGAAAAGACTAGGGGAAAGTTTGTAGGTTATAACAAGAGAGTTAATACAACCTCCACTGATTTCACTGTGATCATTTCAATTATGGCCTGTAGGGAGATCGTGCTGTTGGTCGGTGTGTGTTTCCAACCCAGTCTCACGGCATTTCGTGTTATAGTCACGACATTGAATCTATTGATTCGTGTTCACCAACACGATTTTCCCATTTTTTTCGTGTCACACGGAACGATTTTAAAAGCAATGTATTTCTATTGGTAGTAGGTTTCGTGCCTGCACCACGTCTTTTTGTCCGGTCGGGTCTTGGAAGCTGTGTGGTTCATAAAAACATGTTCTTACTCAATATCAAGCCACGATTATTGTTTTTATTTTTAATTGTATAATGTCTGACTTTTTTTGTCGTCCGCGAGGAAAAGAAATGGGGCTCAGAGCCTCAGAATACTGAAATCTGTATTTTTAAAATCTTTTTTTTCTTCTAATTTGTTATTATTTACATTGCTTTTAAAATCGTTCTGTATGTGACACGAAAAAAATGGGGAAATCGTGTTGGTGAACACCTCGTGACTATAACACGAAATGCCGTGAGACTGGGTTGGTGTTTCAGCAATGTCTCCTTATGCTAATGGACCTCAACAAATATATATCATTTACAAGTTTTATACCATCAATGACAGTTTACTTTTTTTTTTAATTGGCTGGTAGGGCTGCAACTGCCTCAACAAATGTAGCAAACGGCCTTTTTGGCACTTTGCTAGGCTAAAAACAAGCATTTGTCGTGGCATGCTAACATTTGCTAATTTGAACCAAACATCAAATACAGCTGAGGTTTATGGGAAGTCAATAATTCTGCAAGTTAACTTTAATAAAGGCACAAGATGGAACATTAAGGAATTACCAACATTGTTACCTGAAATTCATCAAAACAATTTTGATGGACAACTGCTTTAACCGAGCTAGCGATGCAGCTGAAGAGTCCTAGCATAGCAACTTAAGAAAATGCATGTTCTTTAGAGTTTTGAAGCACAGGGGATAAATGATAACTTTAATTTGTTTGATTCAGCCTGAGACAACAGTTGCCTATGTAAGGATATGAATGATAATGTGATAAGGAAGCATGTGTGTGTGTGTGTGTGTTTCCGTGTATGTAGACACAATGACTGGCAGACAGCCTCAATAAAGAGAAATAGACAAGGCTACATGTCCATGTTCACGGCTTGTTTGAATGTAAGAGATATCAGGCTGGGTGAGGCGAGGGTCATGTGGAGGGTTGGCAGGATCAGGTGTGTGTTTGTGTGCGACAGATGTTGTGACGGTGCGAGCAGGACATTGGTTAGATCTTAATGAAGCGTGCTCTGGAGAGCAGGGATGGATAGGGCCAGCTGTGTGGGCGTGTGTGTGTATGTGTGTGCATGAGACAGTAAAACTGATTAAAAGCGGCGTTAACACTGACAGGAAGCAATGGTCAAGAGGTGAGTGGAAACTGGGGAAAGCCTTGGGGTGGAACGATTAGACACACACTCAGCGGCAGCAGATGCAGCCTGAGGAAAGCCCTGGGCAGCAGCGATTGGTCACACATGCCCATCGATATCCGAGTAGAACCAATCAGCTCGGCTTCCTGTGTTTGACCTGACCCTTCAGGCATTGTAATTGAATATTTCTAGTGAGGAGGCGATAGAAGACAAGGAGAGGAAAAGAGCCACTGTGTGAAACCTTTCCATCTCAAAGACTATAAATAGATGATGATTGTTACTGTCTACACTCAACACTGATGATACACTATTCATGTGACCATAACATTATTTTGTTGAAGGATACCGCAAATAAACTGTATATATATTTTTAAATACACATATTCCAGTGAAATCTACTACAGTATTTGATATAGAATTATTCCAAGTTTCTCTTATTTAGAAGACACATCAGTTTAACCTATCAAGAGTTTTGTGATTTTTTATGTTTTATTTAGGAGGTCACTAATCGTTAATTATAAGGAACAGTTTATAGAAACAATTGCTGCTTTAAACACACGTAGTGCTACTACTGATTATTTTCATTATAAATTAATCTGCAGATTAGTCTGTGAACATCACAATGAGATACGGCAGCATAAGAAGTTACACTTTCACATGTTAGGAAACATACAATAAAGGCACATGCGATAGCAGCAATATCCATAATACATTTCACCCGAGTAAAAAAGTCAACAGTTATGTAAAACATAACATTTCAGGGCATTTGGTAAAAAGACCTTTAAAGGTTAATTTGCCACAACATCTTCAGATATCCTAAACTCAGAAGATATTGAGTTTTAAATTACATATTGAAGACAGATAGGCGTTACAAACCTTTTAATGTGAGATGCTGGAAATAATGTTTTTTCTTGGATGCTTAAATTTAGCTTGAACATTTTGTGATGAATTAACTATTGAAACATTCATGACTTTCCTGACTAATTGATTCACACAAGTGATCAGGCAACCTTTGTGAAAAAAATGTGGGAAACTTAATACTGTGTGTTTAATTCTTTGCTAGATAAGACAGAAAGTTCTAAATGTATTTAAAAAAACAAAGGCAAGTGTTTCTGGTGAACAATATCTATATTCACTTTAGTATGACATTACATTATTGTTTCTAGAAAACATCTTGGAAATTGGAAGACAGACCTGTAAAACAGACCCATTTTATTCTCAAGTTGATCATTCTGGGCTTTAGGAACATTCATATTTTCCTGCCGAATCCTGCTGGACATACCGTATCGTTTCCTGTGTGTGATCATGCTTGTTATAATTAGAGCTTCCTCTCCTAGTCAGCGTGTTTGGCTCTTCCCCTCCCCTCCCTCCCCCCCTGTGCAGCAGCAGACAGGTCGGCCGTGGGGACAGGACCACCGGATCCCCTCCTGTCAGCAAGTTCCACTCCTCTAGGAACCCAGACAAGGAGGTGTTGACGGCCCTGGAGGAAAGCCACTTGGTATCAACACCTGACACACACACATACACACATAGCCAAACACAGGCTTCCCTCGCGCAGGGGCCGTCTGCACACACACATCTGGAGGGAAGCATCCCCACACACAGCGCGGAGGAAAAAACAAGCCGCATCAGGATTTAATCATACTTAAAGATTTGGCCACTGAAGGTTAGAAATTGAAAACAAAACTTACCAAATAGATTGCGTGGCTCTGACAGCAGAGGGGACGTGGAATTTAAATTCCAGGTGATCTAACTCCGAGCAGAAATGACTGACAGCTGCTGGATCACTGAGGAAGTATGTGTGTAATAGGCAGAATAGAGACTTGTGTCAGTCTGGGGGGCACTGATGATGATTGTGAATGTAGTTAAGTGCATGCTGATGATGATTAGGAAGGACACAAAAAGGGTCAGAGGTGGCGGAGTGTCACTCTGGAGGACTCCCTTCAGAACGGGGCTGTTCATGTAGAGATGTGTGTGTGTGTGTGTGTGTGTGTGTGTGTGTGTGTGTGTGTGTGTGTGTGTGCGCTCAGACAGCACCTGTAATGGCTCCCAGCTGAGTCCTGCCTCCCCCTGGGATATGCTGAACTGTGTGTGCATGTGTGTGTGTGTGTGTGTGTGTGTGTAATTAGGCAGTGGCATGCGAGCGGCAGAGGGCCGCTTCCTCTACAGGTGACACCTTTGACCTCTCATCTGTTCCCTGTTGGGGAGAGAAAGAGGAGGGGGGGATGGAAAGAGGGGGGACAGGGATGCACAAAACAAGGCTATAAACTGACAGGTAAAACACGTTTTAATGTTTTTAATTGACATTCAATCTTTGCATAAAACCGCACAGTGAGCCTTGAGTGCTACATGCAGACAATCAGCTTCATTGCAGCTTTTTATAAAGCAGGTTCCAGGCAAACATAGACGATGAGCCCTATCATACAATACAACAAAATAAATAATAAATAAATAAATACATTCGTTTTAGTTTTAGCACTACAGCCAAAACAGGATTCGACTCACATCCTCAGTCATGCAGGTAGGACATTACAGTTACAATACAAACATGCTCTCTTAGCAATCAGTCAGTTCATATATAAATAGGTACATAAATAATGTAATCTTGCATTATATATACATGGTGTTCAACCACCTTAGAATGAGGTAATAGCTATTAAGTAGTACACAATTGTTTAATTCTCAAAAATGTGCGCAAAAAATACCATTTACAAATACTTCCAAGGAGTAAAAGATAAAAGCCAGCACAGTCGTGTTATTGCGGAGCTAATAAATAATCACAATACATGTTAAATAGGAGTGTGCAAATGAGCATTATTATAGAAACGCTGCAGGTGATGCAGTAGGTTACAGGACAGCAGAGCTTCCTCCTCTCGCTCCCTCTCTGCTGGTAGTCAGCTCCTTTCATTCTCACAACAGAACAAACCTTTACCACAGAGCTATCAGGCACACGGCACCACTTTCTGTTTGTTCTCCGCTTCTTCACCCCCTGTCTCTTCTCCTTCCTCCCGGTCTTGTGATGTTTGGACATCATTATGACACCTGGTCTCGCAGTCGGGACAGCCTCTGGGACAGCTCGTCCTGATAACAACACAGAACAGGAAAACAGTCAGAAAAAAACATTCGGCAGCTCTATAAAATAATGCTTTACCTCCGTGACTCTCTTCAAATGAGTTGCTCTTAGATTTCTTATTTCTACAACAAAAACTGCCATTTTATTTGTCACTTAAACTGAATACAATCTTTAGTTCTTATTTTCAGAATGTTAATCCTAATATGCCAGTTATTATAAAAAAAACAACATTTCTTTATTATTTTCTGTATACTAAATGGTAAGGGTATTTTTTGGTATATGGTAATTCTTGGCGGGAATATTAACTATTTGGCTCATAGAGCAAACATGAGAAGATGGTTAAATATGGTGGAAACTAGCAAAAACTATACATTTGAAGCCAGATTTCTAGATTAAAAGTCTGATATAATAGAATACAAGATCATATGTTGTAATGAGATGTAGATAAGAGGGGCCTTTATTTATCCCGGTAGGAAAATTCAGGTGTTAAAGCAGCTGTGGAATAAGAGAGTGTGTATACAAATATGTAATGATGGTTTAATATATATACGTTTCTATGTACCGGTACGAGTAGGGATGAGACTCATATGTAGATTGTGCTATGCTTTGTAATGGCCACTGGATTCAATCTGAATGTGTTTCAATGGGGACATATTTGCCATTACGGTCTCTGTTCTGATTTTGTCTATAAAGTTAATTAAATACTTAGACAATTCAATAAAAAAAACACAATGCGATATGCACAGCCAGAGGATCGAAAGAAAATTCTCTAGTGAGGCTCATGGTGAAATCTACAGTTCTTAGAATATCCCGCAACTGCTGTAGGCTTTAAAAGGTGAAGGCGTGACGTGTAGCTGTCCTTCACAAAAAACAGATGTGAACAGACTGAAGTATGTTGGTTACAATGGAGTCCAATTGTGGCTTGTCAAACTGGAAAATGTATCAAAACATCTTAAGGGAGAACTCAAACACTTCCTGCCACATATTCCACTTTGCCGCCTTATGACCACAATGTTCCACACAGTCATTGTTTGGATGAAGAAGGCTGAATAAACACTGCTTCTGTGTCACAGTATCCGTGAAGACCCACAGCTCCACCACAGGCCGTGGGTTATTTTCAGTTCCTTTTTGAAGAAGATGAGCATACACAATGACAGGGAAACGTGTTCTGAACTGCAGGAGTGTGTTAAAGAAGGGTCAGTGTATTCTATTGTCTACGGTCATTGTGACATTTAAAAATAACACCTACTGTACATAATTATAGCTGATTATAGAGACTGTCCTTACAGATAAATGTTAGAGAGACACCTTTCATAGACAATAAAGAAAATGTGTATATAAACACACCAAAAATAGCTACAGCAGAAGAACGGGTGTGTTACCTGCTCTGTAGGCACCACAGATGAAGCCATTGAGGAAGTGTGGCCTGCAGGAAGCTCCAGGTTAAGATCCAACCTAAAAAAAGAAAAAAGAAAAGGGAATATAGACAGGAACACTTTCACCATGAGTTTTGCTTGGCTGCTTAGCTCTTAAAGTCATTTAAATAAAGCTTAGTACAGCTTCTCATTTGTTAAAGGTCCCCTATTATACTCTATTTCAACAATATATTATAGGTCTCAGATATTTACAAAACATGTCTCTGAAGGGTTTTGCTCGAAATACCGAACAGACTGGCCACGCCCCTCTGCGAGATATTTGGTTAATAAAAAACACAATGGTGCTCTAGGAGGAGATTCAGGTGTTCAGGGCGAGTGTTACCTTTGTTGGTTATTGGCTAATTGTTCCACAACCCAAAAAAACATTGTGACAACACAAAGTGGCCAAAATCATTTTTTTTATATAGATGGATCAGGATAAAAAGAGAGATCATATTTTTTCCGAATCTCTTAACATAGAGACACATATTGCTGTCAAACAAAAAATACAAAAGTGGATTTTGCATAATAGTTTTATTAGTCTACTTAAAAAAGTTAGTAAATTATTTTTTAAGTCCCTGCTTTTATGTTTTTCTCCTATCAATGCATTTGTTGTTGCTATCACTGTTAATTGTTTGGCGGTATGGACCATACTCACCCTGCTTCATCAGCCATCTCATGCAGCAGTGTATCCACTTCATTCTACAGACCAACCAAGAAAACACTCATTTAAAAAAAGAAAACATGTTTCGAGGATTTATTGTGGGAATAATGATGGGATTAAAGGTATGTTAGGGTTGTTATCTTATCCATAGTCAGTGTATGGTCGATTTTGATAGTGGGATTCTTTTTTAAGGTGGCTAATTATACATTATACACTAACTATAAAGTACCTCATACAACACTGTCAAGATTGTTTATTTACAAGAGTCACTACCTTAAAATAAGGAGGGTAATAAGTACACAGAGTGTCTGAAGTCATGACCTGTCTAAGTTAAAGCTTTTTTCAGAGGCTTAACATTTGCTAGTTATTCTTCAATAAACAAAAACAGACTTTAATTCTAACCCCACTCCAAATAATGCCAACTATCCCTTTACGTGTGGCTGCAGGAACGAGGTTTCCCTGCGTGTAGGAGGGCTTCTCACCTGAGGAGTTGTCAGAGTGGTGGTGTTTCCCATGGTGTCCTCCATCTGAGCCGTCTGCACGTCCAGAGTTTCAAACTGGTTTTCAAACTTGTCCATTAAAGCAGAGATCTATCGAGAAACATAGATTCTGAACAACAGTCCAAAGTTTGTCATATTTGTTTCCCTTTGTCATGTGAAATGTTTTACCTTCTCCAAGTTCATGCTTTTGAGTGTAGCATCCATACACTTGACCACTCCAGACATGGATTTAGACACCTGGGCAAAAACACATCACATTAAGTATTAAAGCCTCTGTGGTCTTCTTACTTTTTATTGGTCTAATTTGTCTCATTAAAAACAGGACCAGTATTTGAGGTCGCTCAGGGAGAAGGATTTAATGGGGCAAAGCTTGATGTGCTGTTACCCTGTATTTCCACTAGGTGTCACTTTAAGCTCTTTAAACAGATCATTTGTTATGACTAACTCTCATCCTTGATATTTCAAAGATGATGCTGATTAATCTTGTCAAAACCAATTAACCAATAGTTGATGATATTATGGTGGAGGGGTTTTTCATCAGTGCTATTGTGTTCATGTTTTATGAGACGTACATTACAACAACATAAAGAGGTGTTTTTCAGCTATACCATCTCGCAGGCTGCCTCCAATTCTATAGACGCTATTAGGTTCTATTCTGTGAAATGATGCCTGCCCTGTAGTGAACCTGAATGAAAACCATTTAAAGAGGCAGGTCAGTCTCATACGGGCAAAGAAGGTAATAGCCTCAGTCTGCAGCAGAGCTAATGACATTATGTAATTGGTGGCTTTTTGTTTGCATGTCTGCCAGACCCTTTTTCTCCTTCTTCCTCTCCCTGTTTCTTTCGTGTAGAATAATAAAATGAGTAAATGCCTACTTTCTGACTTTTTACCCTGTAATGGTTACATTATGAAGCTCTTAAAGATCTTAATTATGATGTATAATTCAACATATCAACTTTGAAAACGACATATCTTGAAGGTTGAAGAGAGAGACACTTTGGGATTGTTGCCTTTGCAGACCATTTACATGCATAAAAACCTATATGACACTACAGGAAAGGGAAAATCCCCAAAAAGCATAATAGGGCCACTCTAAGTAAAGGTATTCGCATCTAAATATATTTAAAAAGTTAAACTAATCATGTGTAAAATGACATGTTTCACAATCATATAAATGATGTTATTGTATTATAGATAATACTAGCAACATAAAAGGGATAGACAAATCATTGCTTATTTAAAATAAGCAATGATTTGTCTATCCCTTTTATGTTGCAGCTAGTAAAAGTGAAGCTCATTCTAAGAACTTCATTAATCGCTGGGTAGTTTAACCTATAGTAATACAATCACTTTTAATTAATCATATTTTGTATTAATAACCTAAATCTGTCAAAAGTAACTAAAGGTACCAAATAGATCTAGTGCAAGAACAAGTGCAATATTTGCCTGTATATATATAAGTGCTCCAAAACCATAATGCAGCATTAAGTGAAAATACTTACATAAAGTAAAAGTACCTCATTGTGTATGTAAGTACAGTACTTGAGTTAATGCACTTAGTTACTTTTTACCATATGAACAACCATATTTACTAAATCTGTACCAGGTTAGGGGTTACAAATAAGGGTTTAATTCTGGTAGCAAACACCACACAAATAATGATAACAACAATTGAAAACAATGTTAACCAAGCAAGTCATATTGTCAAGTCACATTATGCAATCATTTTCTAAATCAAATTATCTCTGTACAAGAGCTTATCTTTAAAAATGATTACATGACTGCAGTAAATAGGTTGGGCATGTTTTCTTTATGGTTGTCATTGATCTGCTTTACCAAATAGAAATGAAGGCAGATCTTTGACAAAGCATTGACTTGAACTTCTGACCTGGTTCATGGTGACAGCAGTCTGGACCCTGGAAGCCACAGCATCCACACGTGCACTCATCCTCAGGAAGTTAAGAGACTGGTGCTTCTGACGGATGGCGTTCTCTGCATGGATCTTAGCTGCCTCCATGTTACCCTTCTGGATAGCCTGAGAGACAAACAGAAGAGGAGTACATAAACATACATAATACAAAATGTAGCTGCACTGTAGCCAATGGTCTTTCATAAGTACATAGAAATAAGCACCTGCTTCACTTTAGCTTTTTCTGCCTTTTCCTCTTTGTCACATTTCTTGGAGTTGCGTTGTAGCTCCTTTGTGGCAATCTTGAGGTTGAACAGTTGTTCTGCATGGTTAGTCAAGGAATTGTTTATGTAAGTAGGCTAATGGTTATACATTGAATGAGAAATGCATTTTTAGGCTGGCTGAATATAAACTGTAAAAACATTGAGCTAACCCAAATCACTGCAGGCAAGTTACATTGTTTTTCCTATACAAGTGAAAATGTAAGCTACTAGCAAACCCATCACTGTTTTCGTTCGTAGTTGAATGACTGGGCAGAAGTTACTAGCTGTTAGCTAGCAAACCAAGCTTACATTTGGCTAGCTAACACTCTCACTAGGTAACTGTTTCTACCGATATGCATGTCAGACTTCCCAGGAAAGGATACTCTCCATATTCGACATGATGAAGGTCTTTTTCAGTGACAAAAACTCTGGCCTGCTTATGAACAGATACAAAGTAGCATCCAGTCAGTGACTTGTTTCCCAGAGATGTTTGTTTTGGTTTTTTCAAACTGGTGTATCTTCGCCACTTGAGCTGAGAGGATTCCCCTAAACGTACTTCCGCTTTTGCTTAAAAGCACCTAGACAGAGCGGCAGTAACGTTATCGCATTGGTCTTGATGCCAAAGCGAGTGTGTCTTATTTTATAATAAGAACATATTCTTACTTTGGTTGAGCTTTGCCAACATATATAGGTAAGAAACAACGTTGTATACCGCCTCTAAGCTTATGTCACGCATGCGCAACTAAGTGACGACCGACTAGGCGACTACTCAAGGTTTTTCCTTCATATTTGAACTGTTTTGCATTATAATAGCATGTCAGTTACCTTTAAATAAATTACACGAATTCAACACATGTGTACGATGATGTGTGTGCTTAATATAGTCCTTAATGGATAGAATCGCCAGAAATGTGTCTGGATTTAGTCGCTAGACAACGGTATGTGAACCATCTTGATCAAACTTTTATCTTTGAATACAACTCTACCCCTCACCGTCGTCACCATGGATGGTCGTCACACGGTCACGATTTTGCATGGCGTGCCCGCGCCTTCTACGTCACGACCGTTTGAGAGGTGGACGGGCGCGCGTGTCCAAAGCAGACAAGTTCCATCCAAGCTAAAAATAGTTTGTACCCGGTTTGTACCCGGTATCGGTAGGTTGTGGTACACGTCTAGTGACGTCATTTGTTCTTTTTTGTGAGGGAGTAAATTGACCTTTTCTACAGCGCCTTGCTTTTTAATGACGTTTCTTTCACAATGTTTATGATGCGTTTACGAGAATGTGACATCTGTAACCTTGTTTTTTGGGTTGTACATGGAAAAACAATAATTTGGACTGGCCTGATGGAAAAAATGAAAGAGGGCTTTATAGGCTAATTGTTGTTGAAAGAGACAGCAATAAAATGCATCATGCGGAAAATAGGGATCATCGGTTGTCCAGAGAGAAAGGTTCCGGTGTGCCAGTCGAAGGGGACTGGGGGATTAACGGCTGGGCCGGGGGGGGGGGGGGGGGGGGGGGGGGAGCAGCATGGATGACTCATACTGTATGTGCTGATGATAGTCGGACACAGCACTGGATACAATGTGAGCGTTAGGGACAGTGAATGAAAAGTGTTGTAGAAATAAATACAAAAGACATCATTAGAGGTTTCAGTTATCTGCATAATAACATCGAAGTCCTTTATACTGTCCATTTTGACTCCCATTTATACAACAAACAAGGAGCAAGCAAATACAAATAGGCCTAATACTTTTTTGTCTATCCTATAGGCTAGGCCTACTTTAGCTAAAAGTTCCCTATCTCTGTCTTGAATTTAGCCCGCTTTTTCAACTTTTATTTACAATAAGGATACATAAGGGGCTGTTAAAAATGTTTTCGAATTATATTCCTATCTGTTAACGCCCAAAACACACTACACCATCATTGTTGTAGCCTACTTCTGCACACACACACACACACACACACACACGCACACACGCACGCACGCACGCACGCACGCTCCCCAGTCATAACTGAATGACGGCAGGTCGCTATGGAAACTGCGTTACGCTCCGGGCGGCCGGAGGAGAAAACAAGAGCGCGAGGACTCATTTCAGTCTTCACTTCAGCACCAAGCGAGCTCCTGGACAGCGCCCGGATGAACTCGCGCACACATAGTAGTCTCGTATGCCTTATAAGGGACACAGCAGCACCGAGCCTCACCGGAGAGTGTATAGGGACTTGAGAAGAGAAACAAAGCCAGTCACTGTCGGGACCTGAAGCTCGGAGGAGATTCTACTATCAAACCGGGAGACAGTCGCTCCCTCAAATGCCACAGCAACAACAGGTAAGGACATTCAGTTCTGTAAAGTTTGGATATTTTACTTTTTTTGTGTCTGTCTGAAGCTTACATGCTGTGTTTATAATGTGCTTTAAATCCTGGATCTCAGAAGTGTGCCCTTTATTCTGCCAGGCACTTAATTGCGGTTAATTGCCCTCACCTGGTGTCTCAGGAGTGAGTAAATGCGTGATTAGGTGTTTAGAGAGAAGACCAGCGGGGCAGAGTGCATTCAGCAGTGCTCGTTATCACTCCACTAAATTTAAGGCATTAGTGGACTGTGAAGCAGAAGGTACAAAACTAAAGCCTGGTTATTTTATGGGGTAACAACTCTTATTAGGCCTATTTATCTTTTTAGAAGTATTGCCCATGTATAAGTTTAGCAGTAGGCTACTATTTAAAATATTCTAAACTCCAAATATGTAAGACTAAATGTGTGGTGCGCAGGCATTGTAAATGCATTTGGTGGGTGGACACAACAAAGACTGAGTTGTTTCCTTCTTTAACAGCATTACCCCGAGTTCATCATAACTGTTTAAGTAAATGGAAGAGACAAACATATAATATCACTGTATTATATTAATAATAATAAAAAGTCAGGGACACATTGTCATTTTTCTATAGTTTTCTATAAACAGGACATCATTGTTTGTTTCCTGTATTTATTCTGCTGTAAAAAGTGTATACCAGAGACGGCAGCCTGAGTCTACAGAGCGTCTTTGTTTGTGTTGTTAGCCCAGTGAATACGAGACCCTCCGTATGTGCTGGGTTTTCAATGGCCATAGATTATGTGCGAGCTGAGCCGATACGCCTGGATGAGTCACTCAGGCTGCAAGTTTGCAGAAGAGTGCGAAAGGGGAGGGGGAGATACAGGGGCTAGCTTGAAAACAGTCCCGCAGTGCCTCTCTGCCTCTCTGCCTCCTCCAACCATTGTTTAATGACCAGTGTCAACACCTGGGACTATATTTATTGCCTCTGGATGTATGATTACGTTTTTTTTTGCAACTTGAAGTCCACCTTGTTAAAGTGTGGCACAGAGAGGAGAGAGCTTTGTGTTCTCAGACTCAACCTTTCTGTCTTCTGGAAAGCTATTAAGTGGTTTTACAGTGAGTTTGGAGGCTAAATTAAGTGCTGTTTTCCAGCTGAAATGTACGCAACACAGTTTAGAAGATTCATAAACACTTCCTAGTAGATTGTTTGTGGTTATCACAGAGTATCGCTCTCTGATGCCTGACAAACTGTGACCTGAAAGCATCCCATTACTGCCCATTAGTATCCCAATGTTTACCCTGCTGGTATTGACAAATCATAGTAATCAGCAGCATTCAGCCACAGCACTGACTGACATCTATTGATTAAAACAAAAGATCATAATGGGCTGCCATGAACCACAGTTGCACACTCAGACGCAAGCACTCAATACTTTTGCATGTGCCTCTACTGACTGACTTGAAGAATAGATCTAGTTTGTAGAGATTGATAGATGGAGTCTGGATGCAGAGGCTGTGTGCGTAACTGCCAGGAGGAGGATTAGGAAGCCTAACAAACATAATTGGCTGATATTAAATCCCACTTTGTTCCAATTTGTGTTACGATTTACAAAGGTGTTATATAAAACAACCTTGTCTGCACTGCACTCAGAGGAGTGTGCGCAAGAGCCATTGTTTGTTATGTACACAAATAATGTGCTTCACACACGGACACAGAAACAGATGTGTGTCTTTAATTAGTGACGTTGGTGTGATTAATGCAGTCTGCTGGAGATGACTCATTCAGCGTAAGCCTTGCGCCTCTGGTGGAAACAATCAATAAGCAAAGATTTACTCTTCCCTTACATGTCATTTTAATTATATACTTCATACGATCTTATCAAATAATATATTATCTGGTATTTTTTCTTTCTTTAAAATTGAACTGATTCGGGTATTGTATGTGACTGTGATTGGGTAAAAATAAAGGAACTAATTGGTGTGATTCCAGTCAAACTCTTCCTCTTCCTTTGTTGCGATCTGGTTGAGCTGTGGATAAATATTCATGCAAATCACATCTACGTGGATCCCTCCATGTGTCAACATGTCAACACAGCAGTTACATTAGCATTTTTGAAAAGCTGTCAGCCAAGCTGTGACTTGCAGACAGCAGACTGGCAGGGAGTGTGTTTATGCGTATGAGCACTGTGTGTGTGTGTGAGAGACAGAGAGAGTGACAGAGTTAACTCAGAATTGGTTGGTGACTTGTAATCAAATCTTGTCATCCTCCTTCCTCTCCCTTCAGGGCAGCAGCATGTCTGAAACTAAATCCAGTCAGCGGTTCCAATGCCTGAACGCTGAGCAGGTAGAGGTCCTCCATCAGGTTCTGTCAGAGGTGGTTCCAATCCACGGCCGCGGGAACTTCCCCACGTTGGAGCTGCGTCCTCGAGACATCATCATGGCTGTGCGGGCCAGGCTGCAGAAGCAGGGAATCACAGTGAGAGATATTCGTCTGAACGGATCCACGGCTAGCCACGTCCTCGTCCGAGACAACGGAACGAGCTACAAAGACCTGGACGTCATCTTCGGAGTGGAGTTGCCCAGTCAGGAGGAGTTCCAGGTATGATTACTGCTTGTTAGGAAATGAAAGCAGATCAATGGAATATGAGTGGAGCCTTAACCAGCATTCATTTTGCTGAGCTATCCTTGAGCACGTAGTGAATCTCAGGGTATCTCAGGGTGTTGCAATATAGATTTTTTATAGTGCTACATTGATAATGATTTTTCTGTTATCCTTACCTTCATTTAACTGTAGAACATCTTATTTTGTATGGTGAATCAATGGCATTGGCCTTAATATCACATTCTTCAAATGTTAATTTCAATGATACAAGCATCCCCAAATTCTAGTCATAACTTGTTCTGTCATGTTTTGACCTTTTCTTCTCTAAGGTGATCAAAGAGTCAGTACTGAGCTGTTTGCTGGACTGCCTACCTGCTGGGGTCAATCGAGAGCGGATAAGCAGCGCAACAATGAAGGAAGCCTACGTCCAGAAAATGGTCAAGGTCTTCAATGAGCACGACCGCTGGAGCCTCATCTCGCTCTCTAACAACAGCGGCAAAAACCTGGAGCTCAAATTTGTAAGCACGCTGAGGCGACAGTTTGAGTTTAGCGTTGACTCCTTTCAGATCATTCTGGATCGTCTTCTCGAGTCCTACATGCAGCAGGAGTTGCAGCAGAAAATGAAAACTGGTGAACTTAGGGAGCAGCCTGCAGAGAATCAGAAAAAAGACTCTTCGTCTCTGCTCAGAGAACCTACTGCCCCGAAAACAGAAAATGCCTCTGGTAAAGACTTATCCATCAAAGCAGAGGCTCAGATCAGCCAGACACAACAGAGAGATGAGGTAAATGAAAAGCAATCCAAGACTGTACCCAATACACAACAAATTGAACAGTCCAACCAGACGAAAGATTCCGAAGTGGAGAAAGACAACAAAGGCATAAAACCTGTTGAGCTGAAAGAAGCGTCAGAACACAAAGAAACATTCAGCTTTTCTGACCAGACTTTACCAAAACATTTGTCAGAAGAAAAACAAACCTCTGAGAATTCTGACCAGACTTTACCAACACTTTTGTCAGAAGAGAAACAAACCTCTGAGAATTCTGACCAGACTTTACCAACACTTTTGTCAGAAGAAAAACAAACCTCTGAGAATTCTGACCAGACTTTACCAACACTTTTGTCAGAAGAGAAACAAACCTCTGAGAATTCTGACCAGACTTCACCAACACTTTTGTCAGAAGAGAAACAAACCTCTGAGAATTCTGAACCACCAAATCAGATTGAACTCAGACACGAGCCAGAGCTCCCAGACATCACCAAATATCCAACAACGGTAGAAATGTCAGAGCCAACCCAGCCCTGTGATGACCAACAACCAGCACATTCAAATCACCAGGAACTCTCTGTCCAGAAAGAACAATCCAACCACACAAAACCCCCTGATGAAGGAGAGGAACTCACAGAACAGATGGCACACTCCGAGTCGCCAAAAAGCTCAAACAAAACCCAGGCAGAGTCTCTAAACCTGGCAGAAGAATGTCACAGTGCAGACTTCTCCAAGTGTTTCAGTGAGGATCAGAGTAGCGATGAGAAAGATAAAACACAACATTTGACTGCTCCTGACTCCAGCACATCTTCACCTGCACAGATAGAGACACAGGTAGAAGAAGAGAGACAAGAAGAAACAGAGACAGTTGAGCAAGAAGAGAGAAAAATTGAGATGGGAATAAGAGAAATGACAGAAGAGATCATAGCCTCAGAAGCTACAAACATAGACAACACACAGGGTATTGATTGTTCCTGCTCCACCTCTTCTATATCCCTTTCTCTTGACAACACAGAGCCTGCCGGTACACAAGATACAGCAGAGATTCACAGCACACTTGACACAGATAACTCAGATAAAACACCTAACACACTTGAAGCTGAAAGCCCTCCAGATACTCAGGATGGTTTACCTGCACCGCCCAGCCTTGTTTCTGACAAAAAGACCTCCTCTTCTCCCTCATGTAAGGCCTCAGAGAGACTTGCTCACATGGTGGTGCTTAAACACCACTCTCCCATACCCCCTCGGAGGATGTGTAGGAAGGTATCCCCCAATAGTGACCCACATCAAGTCTCTGATAGCGAATCTGTCGTAGATCCAAACCCTTGCCCTAGCCCTGAACCTGAGATAGTATCCGACCCAAAGCCCAGTTCAGACCCTACAACTACCCCAACAACCAGTAACTCTACGAAAACAAACCCTGAGCATGAATCCACCCCTCCCAGTAACCTTACTTGTGACATAGGCCTTACTCCTGATCCAGCCCCTGATATAATCTCCACCTCTGCTGTGGATCCCATTTCTGATTCAGCTCAAGATCCCTCCTCCAGTCAGCTAATCACAGAGAGTCCATGTGAGACAAGTATTCAGAGCATAAAAGAGACCCCATCCACACATTGTGATGAGCAAAGCAACCCTTCAACGAGTGAAACTGTCCCTGCACCCAGACAATCAAAGCCGCTTGGTTCAGTGGACAAATTAGTTTCACTCACCAATACATCCACCTCCAACACCCAGGAACCTGTACATACCTCAGAAGTTGAGCTCAGCGATGAAGATGAAATCAGAGTAGTACAAACCAAAAAGATGGACTTTAGTCAGCTGATTGACAGCCCACAAGACACCACACTTGTCACGCCTCCTGTTCCCTGTCCAACCTCTCCCCTCCTCAGTCTTTCCCCTCCCTGCTTCACACCCTCGCCCCCCAGCCTCAGCCCTCCCCGATGTCTGACCCCTCCCTCTAACTTCCTCTCATCTGCGCTGCTGAACACTGTCAGCCTCGAGACCAGCTTTAGCTCTCCACCCCTGAGTTTCAGCCCTACCTCATCCTGTCTCAGCTCCCCTCCGTACCTCACCCCAACTATGCTTAGCCTCAGCCCTACTCCAGTCTGTCTTAGCCCGCCTTCCCCCTGCCTCAGCCCTCCCATCCTCTGCCTCACTCCACCGGTGGAGTCAGAGGACCTTGTACCTCAGGTATCTTCGCATATGGAGCCTTTGATACTGAAAACCGACAGCGAGGATGAGAATCAAGAGTCCTCCCCTCAGCCTGGAAATCCTATCCTACAGTTGGAGGATAAAAAGGAACACGATTATATCTCATCGTTGCCTGGGGTTTCAGAGCCAGTCTCTTTTCCAATCACAATTCCTAGCACCACCTCACATGTGCTTCCTCACTCTCAGTCTGAAGACCCTGGGGAATTGGCCCCTCCAGAAGCCGATGAGGCATCCAGCCCTGTGCCTGAGAACAAAGAGGCCCCTAAGGTAAATGCAGTCATGCCTGAACAGTGCATCGCTCCTCAGGCAACTGACTCAGTCCCTGCTGTCGAGGTCCTAGCAGAGAGCATGTACGGTGACTTTGAGGCAGCCATGGATCACCTGCGCTACCGCCTAATCGCTACTAGAAACCCTGAGGAGATCCGGGGTGGTGGCTTGCTCAAGTACAGCAACCTGTTGGTCAGGGACTACCGACCGGCCAGCGAGACTGAGATAAAAACACTGGAGCGCTACATGTGCTCACGCTTTTTCATCGATTTTCCTGACGTGCAGGAGCAGCAGAGGAAGATCCTGTCCTACTTGAAGAACCACTTTATCGGGGAGGAGAGGAGCAAGTACCAGTACCTGATGACGCTGCGGCGCGTGGTCGACGACAGCACAGTGTGCCTGATGGGACATGAGAGGCGTCAGACTCTGAACATGATCACAGTGCTGGCGCTGAAGGTTCTGGGAGAGCAGAACATTATCCCCAACACAGACCATGTGACATGCTTCTACCAGCCTGCCCCATACCTTGCTGATCACAATACCCCCTATTTAGCAGAACCCAGCTACTGCAGCTACTACATACCCCAAGCGGGATCAACTCTGCTTTACCAACCCTACCCCTTACACTTGCACGCACAGACTGGACTAGTCTAAAACACACACACACATACAAATTATAATTACACAACTCACACAATCTTGCAAGGAGAAGGTGCTTTTCATGAGGAAAGAGCTGGAGAATGGAAAAATAATCCAGGGATAAACTGTTTGGTCTATAATAGACCTATGTGGGTGGGATTGAGTGGGTTTTTACAGTAAACTCCCTGAGTACTCTGTAAGGTTCTAATATGATTAAATGTAATTATCTGGGCTTTGTGGGAAAATAATAATTCTTCCAATATTGCCGAAATTCCAGAAAATGCTTTATGCACTGCATGAGTCATAGCCCTTTGGTCTCCCCGGGAAACCAACTGTGCTGTTGACATTCAAAAACATTCACGGGCACACACACATGCATACACAAAACTCACACTTCCAGGTTCTTGAATTCTTGTCACTCTTTTCATGTTCTTACTGTGTTGTTCTTAATGGGTTTGTTCAGATTGTGGACCTTTCCTGTGGTTGATATTGTGCATGGATAAATTAGGACTGTTCTCTCACTGCCAAATACTGTGTTACTACTATGCTTCTTAAACAGTTTCATGTAACTTTGTTAATCCTTTACTGAAGGGGTGTACTCTGAAAAAAATACTTAAAGGGACAGGTCTACCAGTGTGTACAGTACTTTAATCAGAACACACAAACATGCATGCACTACACATACACACATATGTGCACACCAACTGGCAGGCTGTTTACTGTATTAACACAGTTAGACGATGCATGAGTAGCTTAATATATACAGTAGAGTAGACCACATCCTGAAGTCAAAGCGAAGGCTTTTAATTTAATAAAAATGTATCTATTTTTGCAAAACTTTCCAAGATAATACTCAGTGGTAAACAGACTGGTTAATTCCTACAGAAAAATGCCAACAACAATGCCTTTGCAATAGACTGTACAGTGTATTGATTACAGTATATCGTGTGCAGATACACTGCATTGTTTTCAGGTAAAATGTGTTAAGATGTAGTGCTTGATTCCTTTGACTTGTGAAGTCCTTTCTGTAATCATGTGAAGTACTGTACCATCTAGTGTTGATTTATTTAATGCTAATGTTTACCCTATGGAGGTGGTCAGGTTATAACCATCTTTAGGTCACCTCTAAACATGGCCAATTGAGATCTGTCTAAACTGAAGGAGTGCATTTTAAACCTCTGTGACTCCTATCAGCATAAATCAGCATCCTCTAATCCACAGTCAGATTCAACATGAAACAAGTTTAAATCCACCTCAAACCTTTTGAATCCAAGTTCAAAGCCAAACAGCAACTATGACCAAAGATGGTTTGGTAGGGAAATTAAGTGCCTAAATGTGAGACATCATTGGCATGTCTTTATCTCACTGCACTGGGGGTGTTAATGGGGTGGGCCTGGGGCTGGGTTGGGTATGTGTTCAGTTGTTGACCCCTGTTATTGCTGCCCATTTTGATGTCTTCTTTAATGTAGTCCTTTGTTGTAATTTCTTCATGTACATTTTGATAAAATAAAGGCGTAACTCAACAAACCTTCGGATATGTAATTATTGCTACAAATTATTTTAAAGGTAACATGTCGAAATGTCATGAAATCCTAATAAATAATAACTGCAGTGGCCACAAGGTTTCGGCAGTCATTACCCTGTTCCTCGCACATGTCTCTACACTCCATATTCCAAGCAGCCTTCCTAGGCATTGGCCAAAGCATGACAACACATTAAAATGTTATATCATTTTCAACATGATGTTACTAATGTTCCTATATTATATTTTGATCATTGGCTTCATGATAAAAAAAAACTAGCTAACCATTTGCCAATTACCTTTCTCAGCTATTGTTTAGAAGCAAACAACATCAGTCTCTAAATAACCAACAGCTAGCTGGCTAATCTTAGCTTGGATTAGGTTATAGTAGCAATCATTATCAAAAGTGATATGCCTACGTCATACATCATAAGCCTAGACCCCTGCTTATCAATTATTGTTAGCTAAAATCCATTCAATGGGCAAAAACACATAAATTGTGACTATTTTGCTAGCGATAACGTTAGCCAGCAACCAAGCTAAGGTTAGCAAACTAGCTCTCACTTAGCTACACTGCATACATCTGGCATTGGTTGTGTCAAAGGTTAAAAAGTAATTTACTCAAGGTAAACGGGCAAATGTACCTGCCAGATTAACCTATAAATGGGAGTGTGGATTAATTAGCGGAAGTTATCCGCTCAAAAGTATTTCGCCACGCTAGCTACTCACTGTGAGTTTAAGAGAGGCAGGGCAGTCAGACGTGTACATAAATGTCACATCCTTTGGAGTCCTGTTTAAGATAATTGAAGTTTATAAACTGCGTTAAAACACACATTGCCAAAACCAAGTAATTGATACACGTACATTTTAACGAAGAGTTCCTCTGAATTGATTGTTTCACATCTTTGTGCTCCGTTCTCATACACCAAGCTACTTTAATTTCCCCCCAAACGACATGTTGTACAGCTGACGTATCCTCCTTATGATTGCGCTCTGCAATGATCCACTTTAGCGTGACCGTCGAATCACAATGGTGCCCAGGAGAGCGACCCAAAGCTGTGAAATTCTGTCTGTAGGAGGCCTCTTATCACAAATCACCTGTCCTTCAGATGCGTTTGGATCGGAATGACGCACGTTCTACGCAACACAGCAGCCTCCACATCATGTATATGTTCGATAAATACGGTCTGTGAGGTGTGAGACTAAAGGGGAAAAGGGGGATGAGAGAGCTAAACGTGTGTGTGTGTGTGTGTGTGTGTGTGTGTGTGTGTGTGTGTGTGTGTGTGTGTGTGTGTGTGTGTGTGTGTGTGTGTGTGTGTGTGTGTGTGTGTGTGTGTGTGTGTGTGTGCTACAGAAGGGAATATGTGCAGAGGCGGCATCAGGTGGTCCCCTTCTCCACTGAGTAATTGAAGAGACCTACAGGATAATGACACAATAGGACTCCCTCCTTACTCCCAAATTGCCTGCTCCCAATTCACAACAATGATAATTCATTGGCACAAGAGAAGATGTGGGTGTCTTTTTTCATCTGGGGGGGGGAGGACTTGTGTGATAGCAGGTAGTGGCCCCGTCATCCTCCATCATCTATTTACACACACTATAGGCTTGCATGCGCCAGGTTGGAAGCATGTGGCTCACTGGGAGAGAAGGAGAGTGTGAACTAATAGGTTCTGTATCAGCGTCTCACAGACCTCAGAGCCACTCTTGTCCACTCGGGGTTTCCATAGAGACAGAGACGGGCAGCACAGTGGGCGCAAAGAGCATGACGGAAGACAGGGAAGACCCACACACCAAATGAGGGGGTGAGAGATGGAAAAACAAACAAAGAAAAAAGAGGTGGGCGAAGTAAAAAGAAAGATGTTGGAGGGAGAGCGATGGATGGATAAGAAAATGTAGAGAGGAGAAGAAAAAGGAGTGAGAGGAGGGCGAGGTTATAGATAAAGCAAGCCGAGAGGGGCAGGGGAGTTTATGGGGAGAGCGTGGGAGGATGTCAGGCCTTCAGTCACAGGGGAGTCACTGTGAGGTGGCTGCAGTGACGCCAGCAGTGATGTTAGAGCAGCAGCACATGCACACATGAGCGTGTGCACATACACACAGCGGCATGCACATCAATTTTCCTAATGGCCTGCCCACCCGTCCACCGTCAACAAACAGTTTTCAGTCTCACTAAGACTAAAAGAGAACATCACCCACACATCTGTCCTTATCTCTTTCTGTCCCTCACATGCTCTGGACAATACATTTAATTCCTCTGAATCATTTTCAAAAGAAGTATTTCTTCAGATTTCCAAATAGATGTATACCTCCTAGTTAAAAAAGGAAAGGTTTGTAGCAGCCTCTGAAGTATAAATGAAAATCATTAGCAGAGGCTTAAGGCATGAAACATGTTGCTCTGTCTAAAGTGTGAATGTAGGTAATTATGGCTGCTGGACAATCTCTATTCATCTTGTTGTCAAAATGAATTCCTCTGTAACTTTCTGTCGATTAGCAGCCCCCTGAAACTCTCACCTGGGAGTAATGTTTATTGAATGCCCAGACACTGATCCTGCTATTATAAAGCACTTAGTAGCACACAAAGAATATAAAGCATAATCATTTGTGAGGGCTTTATGCTTCCTAGCAGACAGCATTTCTCTTGATGTGACTGATGAACACCGGGTAACGAAGTTAATCCATAGTATTCACCATTCATCTTTTCATTTACTACAGCCTCCTCCTCACCATCCTTAACCCGCACCACCCACGCCCTCTACTTTTCTCAACCCCCTGCCCGCTGTGTGCCTCCCACCCATCTTCCCCCTTGACTGCTATGACTCAGTCCTCTTCCAGCAGAGGGTACAACAGGATAAAAACCTTGATGAAAAACAGCCAAGAAAACCACTTAACTTAAAGAACTAGAACAATTGGCAAGGCAAAGTAGCTGCTGCGTCTTTAGTTCCAGTGCCACCCACCACATACACACACACCCTCCATCAGAAATACACACACTGCCTCCACATTGTAATTGATGCACTCTTATTTTATTCGCTAACAGCAAAACTTCGAAGGCAGCGAGGAGTGTTTCAAAAATAGTTTTTCATTTCTCTAGATAGAAGTCTGTGTCGTCATGACTCAGTGACATGGATGGATGGTTTCTTACATGCCGTACATGGAGCCTGATTCAGTAAACCTTGAGGGATTGAACCTGTCGATCAAATCACTCTGTTATTCCACTCAACACATCTGTGCTATTTTCAGACTCAAATTGTACCACCATTACTTTAACTCTTCTTGCATCAAAAGAAATTGTGCAGTGATGCAGATTATAGGGGTAGACGAGTGTGTGCTTCCTGTCTGTCTCTTTGGTATTAAGTCCATTCAAGAACATTTGGGTCACAGAGACCTTACTTTAATAACTATGCAAACTAGATGCAGCGAAATAATGGATCATAATGTGAGCCATGTGACAAAGAGACAAGCTTACATAACAAACGATCAATCAGGCGGACAGGAAGGCACGTTTACAAAAAAGTGAGGGGCACTGTAGATGCTAGTTTAGAAGAATACCAATTGTTTTACCTCACACAGCAGCATAGGCCACTTTCTGCATAGTTAAAACTTAATACGCTCTGAATAAAGTGAAGGTTATTGTTTTATATTGGCATTCCATCTGGTTGGCATAGAAAATGACATTATTTCCCATGAACTATTGAACTATCAAAGTTTTCTTGGCTTGAGACATCACATTTTCTGACATTAAGGCCGCTTTTTAAACTTTAGCTTTCCCATTGCTGGAGACGTTGATGTTTACCATGTATGTTCTAGTAATCAAAGAGGATATTCAGATGCATCATGGTAAACGTAGGATCCAGTGTCACAGTGCCTGACCCATAACTTAAGATCAGCACATCTCTACATCTGTTGCTTTGATTTTGACCATTCATTTTAAAATCTGTTCTTCTCAAGCCCAAACTCATTGTGGAGTTGCTAAAATAAATTGCTGCAAAAAACCAAAAGTGGTTAACAGAAGGAGAAAAGTAGATTTACTTAAGTAGTACTGTACTGAAGTACAACTTTGAGGTACTTTTGTTTAAGTATATGTCATGTGAAATTGTACTGCATTACATTTATCTGATTGTTGGCATAAGTTGCTTTAAAGACAAACAAAAAGAAAAATTGACATGAAAAACCTAGCATAAGCCTGTAAACACAATGATTAGTGAAGATTAAACTAGTAGTTCCAAACCTTTGGGCCTGCAACCTATGCCTCAGTTTAGCTCTCTGTTTAACATATATATGAGTTGTGAGCAGTTCAACCAAAATTCAATATTTCCTCTTTAAACTTCTCGGATTGCCTCTTGGATCCTTAGCCAATGTTTCATAAAAAAGCCAAATACTCAAAATAATTTAATATTTATACACATTTGAGTAGAAGAACTGACTTCTTTTCTACCCTATTCATTATCTCACAACACCCAGAAGTATCTTGTGAGGAACGACTGGATTATAAAGTAGTTGCAATCTCAACTACAATAAAAGTCAATTTTCTTAATCTAATACGATACTGATAATAACCAACACAAATTGGCATACCTCCCTAGCCATATTTGTAGAGTATATTTTGCTTTACTAATGTATGATTTAAATGAAGGACTTTCAAGTGTAGGATTTTGTACTTCTCCTTGTGGCAATTTTACTTGTAGGCTATCTGTAAAGTCAATATTTGAGTACATCTTCCACCTCTGAGGTATACACATGGACAATATTAACACCATTTCCTGTCTAATATGCCTTGAGCCTTAAGAATTATGATGCTACATGTTTACCCCAAAAATAAGCTTCTATTACAATTCTCTAATCACTCATTCTAGCACATATTACATTTGTTCTTATGAATGAAAGAAACTAGAGTCTGACATCATCAGCCAGGTCAGAGTTTGTCTGCGTGACTCTGTATGCCTATGTGTGTGTATGTGGTGGTGGGGGGGGGGGGGGGGGGGGGGGGTTTGTGTGCTGGTGTTTATGTGTGTGATCTGTGTGTGGCACTGCTGCTGTTTGCACTGAAGCATGTATTAGCATGGGACCGGTGGAGGAGGGGAGTGTGTGTGTGTGTGTGTGTGTGTGTGTGTGTGTGTGTGTGTGTGTGTGTGTGTGTGTGTGTGTGTGTGTGTGTGTGTGTGTTTCTATCTACACTGATTGACGTCACAGACGCCCACTCATTTCCATCTTGTATGCGTGTGCTGTAGAGAATAGATCCCCATCTGCATCCAGCTCTTCTCCCCCCCCCCCTCTCTCCTCACCTCCCGGTACTTTCTCTTTTTCTCCTTCTCACCCTGCCTCTTCCCATTCACTCGCTCTTGTACATCCCACCCCCGTAGGGTGCAGCCAGCCTCGCAGATAAACAAGACTGTCGAACAACACAAACAATTTAAGGCAGCCAGACAGCAACATCCTCCCTCAGAGTGCAGAACCTTGCCACGCAACATCTGGTCACTTCAAGCATCACTGAGGATGGGAGGACATTTCACTTAGGCTTTTAATGTGACACACAACAAAGTGTACACTGAAAAAACTGAAACATTGACTTTAATTAAACGTGTTATGTCAACAAATGTCACTTCACTTTATTAGTTTAGTTGAAGCAATAACATTTGGTTGAACCTAATATTTAAACTTAATATAATTGCTTTCAACTAACCTTATACAGTTATGTGCAATCTGTTGACATGATACATTTAATTAAAGTCAACGTTTCAGTGTTTTCAGTGGATCAGTTGGCAACTTGTGTAAGCATGTGCAAAAGTGTGACATCCTTCTTTTTGAAAACAAATGCTCAGTCGCACACTGGTATCCTTGGTGACGACAGGACATCATTTAAATCACTTCCTCGTGAAAGGTCATCTTTTTACGCAGAGAATCCCCCACCACCATCCCTCTCTCCATGCCACACACCACCACCGACACTAACGCACAGCAGCTCACACACCACCGCTGCGTGCCGGAGTAATGTGGACACTGGTTTGGGAATGGATGACTGCGGGGAGGAGACAGGGGGGATGGAAGTGCGTGGGATGACAGAATAGGATATGCACATGTTTAAAAAGAGAAAATGTGCTATTTTAGTCATATATCATGACATAACCCATCTGAGAGTCAGAGAGGACAGAATGAGAGTGCACTCATCCCTTTGTGATTACCAGACAGTGAAAAGTGACTGGCAGATGGTCAGACAGACAGACAGACAAAATATATACTAATATTGAAATAATTAGCTCTATGATGTTCACATAAGACTGGAGGGGATGGGGGGGCTGTGTGTCTGCCTCTCAGTATCAAAGCCGTTAACGAGTCACAGGGCTGATCACAGGAGACAGCATGAATGGTCGGATCAATGAGTAGGAGAGGAGGAATATCAGAGATGAGGGAAGGTGGCGCGGAGAAGAAAGAGTCTTAGATCCAAAAACTATCCCTCTGATCAATAACATATTTCCATTGATCAACAGATAAGGATGCTGAAATCACAGCTTGAGATTTTTCTTTGTAGTTGAATACAGGTAGAATAAACAGATAGTACTGACAGAGGATTAAAGTAGCCTAGGTAAATGTGGATAAAAAAGGATATTGATTTTGTTGTTGTTGAAAGCCTGAAGGTATCATTTTGAAGTTTGTTTTCATAATAAAACCTATGATCTGTCTCCTATCATTTATTGATTCTGAATACACACAGCCTGTTCACTTTGCTGCCCCCTGGCAAAAGAAAAACAGTACGCACTGCTTTTTAGCAAACTTCATTTAAATAGTTTGAAGAATATTACAATACTACATACACAACATAACACATAATACACAAATCAGAAACATAATACATAAATCACATACATAAATACAAAGGAACAGGGCTGTTAAAGTGCAGAGGGCCAAAGTCCAGTATCAATTAAGGTATGAATTAGTCAAATTACAGACTAAGCACGTGCCATGGCAGTGTCTGGTTTTTATCGAGGCTTCTCCTTCTACTGAGGTACACAAGAACATTTCTTATTATCACTGTTTATTATGGTCTTGTTAATGACTTTAGTACATATAATCTTCCCATACCACACAATACAAAGCTGCTTCACCCCCCCAAAAATTGTTTTCTGCCTGTTTATTCGTTTACTTTTTAGCATGACTGTATTTGGTACAGTTATACCGTGCCAAATTACCACTGTATCATTATTAAGCTGTAATATGCTGCGGGAAAAGTAGTAACACTTTTAATTTATCAGTTAATAAAATGTAATCTAATATGCAATAGCTCCTCTGTGTTTAGAGTAGATTGTAAGGCAAGGCTGCCATCTAGCGTCGGGGCGGTGCTATAACGCTCCGCATAAACAACCAAAATATATCGACAAAATGGAGCCCGTCGCTCGGCCATGACAATGCAGGTCAGAAGGGCTGATACTGCTGCACAGATATAGCGGAAGAAAAACAAAATTGCGACATATTCTGTGGAAAATGTCAGCCGTGATTCATAGATAACAGAACACTAACAAGTGCTCGTTTTTAGGCCTGCTCCTTTGGGTTTGATATGCAGCTAAATAGTAATGTGTTACTATCAATATAGAAGGGATTGCAAAAAGTTTGAACCTTAAATTAAAAAAATATGTTCCCTTGCATATTTTAACACAAATTAAATGAATTAGTGGCAAAGAAAACATGCATTAACATCCACATTCAACTGTCAATGCTTGAGGACACAAACAAAGCTTAGAAAAATAAATAAAAAGTAGACCTATTCATCAGACAGACACTTTCTCATGTCTGCTTCTGCCTGCCAGGCTTCTAACACATGCTAATGCTCGCAGCTTTGTGAACTAAATATGGAGCTCTCTTTAAGTGAAGCTGCTGAATAGATTGCTAATATTTTGTGTGAGGTGAATGTGGGTCACGGCAGCACTCATGCTTGAGTTCATGTAGAGTTAAAGGAGAATGTGTAGTGCCTAAAGGGGAATTAAGTGGAAAGATAGTGTCCTTCAGTGGGTGTAGGCCTCTGCACTTCAACTTCCTTTCACATAAAAGGAACAGGCTTGAGTTGAGGCCTTATTACTTGATTTTTTCAATGATTCATTCACTGCAAAGGTGAATTATTCTTTTAGGGTGGAGAAAGGGGAAGCTAAGTGTCCCAGGAGGACGCGTATACTTATTAGAATAGTGTCCCAACCTGACTTTTTCCTGACCTGCCTTCTTCATGGATCTGTAGCAACATATTTGTGGGATAAATCCTGGTTGTTTGAATCCTCAGCTAAACCTACAGCGAGTTTGGAGGATCAACAACTTCCACTGTTAAATTAGACAACGCTAAATGCCACGTTTAAGAATCTGTATCCCGCAGCAGCTGTGTCAAAGCAAGGTGGTCTACAGTTACATTGCAGTACAAGCATGTTTCATTTTGTCAGGTCACAGCTGCCGTCTGAATCCTGTTTTATGTTTTGCATGTATTAAAGTTCTAATTTAAATTTCTGCATGCAGATTAACACCGAAAAGCTCTTACATTTGGTTAATAATGGAGTGCATTAAAATAGAACTAGAAGTGCAGTTTTAAAGCTACAATGTAGCATTACAATTTAATTTTAAGATGATACATTTACTTACAAATCACAGGAGTTTAAATAAGAGCCTGAAGTGGACTTCAAAGGGTTACAAAGAAACCTTTTTTACTTTTTTATGGTCTATATTGTGTTGATTTTGAAACAAACTTCAATCGATTTGAATCTTTTGAAGAAAGAAGCTCAAGACAGATGATATCGAGGAAAATTCCCAGGACTCGTTTTTATTAAGAGAATTTCAGAACATAAGAGAGGGACCAGACACCTGCATTTTGTCAGAGAGGGTTTCCAAATTCGATCGTTTAAAAAAACCAGAGTGTTTTAGAAAAGCTGACATGACAGCGTGGATGGAGCAGGAGCTGTTTCCGCACGCAGGGTCGTCTAGGAGACAGGTCGGAGGCCATCACTGTTCCCGGAATGTTTCACATGTTCGTCTTCCTCTTTCTTATGGACAACACGCTTCAACACGCTTTTTTTTTTTAAAACACAATTTCAATGAAAAAAAAAAAACAACAAAAAAGAAAACAGACAGAAGCAAAAGGGAACTCACTGCACATTAGAGGTCTAAAATAATCACCCACTTTAACATGGCTGAACCGTTAATAAAACATGGATAAAAGGTTGAACTGTAGGGGGAGGAAGGTCTAATCTGTGGCGGGAGAAGAGGGAGGGTGAGGAGAGATCGGGAGAGGGAGGAGAAACACAGGAATACACAACTCACGACATAGCCAATCCGGCAGGGACGCACTTTCTACACCAAACAAGCCTTCAACAATCATGAAATGCCATTTAAAAAAGATTTTAGTGTGTTCATCTTGCTTGCAGACACATGATATGACCACTGCAAATCTGCAAGGCGCTCCATAATCAGCTTTGCTTTTTGTGCTAAAAATCTGTACGGATACTTATAAAATCATTGATAAAAATATTCCTCTGTTAACAATACGCCTTGGAGGGAAACCGTGTGAGAGACTTGGGGGGGGGCTGGCTGGCTGGCTGGGGGGGTTCAGGGGATGGGAGAGGGGGGGGGGGCTTTTAGAGAAGGAGAAGTTTGGGCAGTGGTGCTACTCGGACTTGGCCTCCTCCTTGGCCTCCTCGGGAGCTGCCTCCTCCTGTAAGACAGAACAAGTTTAAAACTTTGAGCCATTTCAAATCGTTACTGTTAGTGTCAGTATAAACTAACGGATGTTTTTCTGAGTACTCGTACCTCGTTGGTCTTGGCGTCTCCGTTCTCAGAGTGGTTTTCCTCGTTTGCCTCGGCCTCTGCGTTCTCCTTCGCCTTCTTGGTCTTCTTGTCCTCCTTCTTATCGTTCACAGCCTTTTCTTTCTGCAGGGGCAACACAAGACACCTGGTTAGCAGGCTGGATATTCACACATATACATTTAAACACCATCCGTGTCTTCTTTTTTTATATACATGTTAATTCCGGATCAAGGCTAGCATCTCTTACCTTTGCTGCCTTCTTAACCTTTGGTTCCACCTTGGGAGCGTTCGGTCTCTGTGATGGAGAAGAAAGGAAAAGGGATCAAGTAATGGCTACACATTCTTTGCAAAAGAATATTTTTTAAGATACTAGAAGACTTAGGCTACCATGACACTTAACTTTTTGGGGGATGAATATGAATATAGGTTTAAAATATTCCCTTTAAATGCAGACACTGTTTTTACATTAATATGACTGATCCTAACTGCGTTCATTAGGGAACTTATGCAATGTCAAGTTCCTAAAAGTAATTAGTCTGAGGATTATACACAATATTGGTGTTTAGTATGTACTCTAACAGCCCTGTAAGTTTTACTACCAAAATAACTTTCTAAATTATGTTTAATTTGAATAATAAAGCATTATTTTAGCTCTAAGGGACTTCTGATCACTTTATTTCTACCTCATTAACGACTTACATACTCATGACTAATTATTTGGCTTAATTATGTAAAAATCGCATATTCTTTTATTTTGGTATCGGTAGGAATCAAAATTGTGCACATTATGAAAAGAAAGCCATTGCTTTAGCTGTTTTTGATTATTTTAGGGCAAAATACAAATGTTTTACTCATTTTGAGCATTTTCCCTGAATACCATGTTTTTTAACTGAATTTGTTCATGTAAATTAGTTAGTTGACTTTGTATGAGTGCCTTCTTACCGCTGATAGCCGAGCTGATCTCCTCTGAGGCTGAAACAGAACAAAGACTGTTATTATGGATCTTTTATTGTGACTTTGACTGTATTCAGGAAACACACATTTAAATGCAATACTAGTGCTTTATTCCTGATAATGCCCCCCCAATTACCAAATAATAATACAAATTCAATTTTAATCACATGTATGAGGTTTTACTTAGGTGCACCCCTTCTTACCTCATCCCTCTCGCCTCCGTCTGTTACTGCTGCCTGAAAAACACAAATACAACAGGTTAAAATCAAATACAAATTAAATAGCATTATTATGGCAACAAATGGTGTTTAAACTAACAAGAAACAGTTGTTAAAGACTTTAGGCACATATTGCCGATAATTACAGAGCTGCCGAAAAAACTTTTTGTTTTCATGCGAAAACAAAATCTTATGTGAAATATAGGTCATTTTAAAGGCTTACAGCCCATAAATGTGGAGGTAATGCATGATTTCAGTATTATGCTATGAGAGCTCAGCCATGTGTGTCTCTTGAGCCATATTTTGAGGGCCCAGGCCCTGTTTCTCCCTCTCTCTCCCCCATCTCTTTCTCTCATTCAATGCATGAAGCTCAGATTTGAAAGCTGGCGCGGGAGTCTTTGAGAAGGGGGAGGGACCTGCTCGCGGCTCACGCGCGCCCCCTCGCGACAGAGCCACGTCATTGCAGCCATTTGGGACCATGAACAAAGAGAGAAAATATACAATTTTATCGAAACGCGACGGCGAGTGTTTGTTTTTGCGGTCAAAATGCAAAGTAAAGGCACTAAAGCATTTTCTGGTGCCACTTTTCGCCGGTTTGGTGGCGAATTGGCGATAAGTGAAGCGTTTGTTCTCGGTAGGTCGGCGACGAAGGTGGACAAGAGCTGCAAAGCATGGCTGCTGCTTGTGCTTTAACTGCATGGAGACCGAAAGAGACTTCTGACTCCCCAAAGGACAGCGGTTCTAACGAGAATACGCGTTTTAAAGGCCGGGTCCGAGCGGGAAAATATTCATTCTAACGCATAAAAAATTGACATTATATCTAGAAAATAGGCAAAAATTACCAGCGAGCAAAAACGGATATACATTACGTTATAATTAAGTAATGTCTCAGAGGGCTGTCTTCATAATCGTTTGCAATGCCTTAAAAGCTGATATGCCCCTCAAACTATTTTTATTATTTTCAGAATACGTACCTTTCTCTTGGGCATGTTGATCTCTTGGAGGTTTTCTTACAAATACAACTAAAAACTGTTTTTCTCAGTGGGTTCAGTGCATGTGAAGACGAGTGTCTCCCTTATGCTCGGCAGTGTAGTAAACACACTGGAAAAGAGAGGCGAGTGGTTGAATGGGGGGAGGGGTGCGGCTAAGGGCATGATTGATAGGCTCTCAGCCAATCAAGTGACGCCATTCGGGGCTGCAGAAGCAGAACACTTGGAATTTTGGAGCCGGCGATGTTCTGAGGTCTGCGCGAATGGCTTCTTGCAGGGAGAGAAGGGAGGAAGCCTGCAAGAATTAAAGGACATATTGCCACCATACGAGTGTGTTCAATTACAGTAAGAAAAGAGGCCTGGCAGAGAACCTGTCCGCCCCGCCATACAGGCCCCCTCGGCAGGCAACATGCCCCAGTGTAAGCCATTCATCCCCGCTGGCTTATCTTAAAACTACCCCTCACATCTGCTGCGGTCAGCGAGGAGAAAATTCACCTCAAATTCACTTGGTGTTTGAGTCCAATATGGCGCCCACTCCTCTTCGACACATTTTTTTTTGTTTGTCAGTCGGCTTTCCTAAATTCGTTTCAGAGAAAAGCCTCGCGACGTCTGCCCGTGACGCCTGCAGGGGGCCCACAAAGCCCGTCTAATGTTATGGCTGCTCGAGAAGGACCTTAAAAAGGCTGTGCTGCTACACTAAAGCACCCAGAAAGTGCTCAAAATCACTGCAGATTTCATGTTGTTATTGACATAACATCCACCTATTAACACGACTTAATAGAACACGTGCAACTGGGCACACGTGCACGGTTAAAAAAAGGGACAATAGCCAATAATGTCCGACTTGCAGACAATGGGGTCGGTGCTGAAATATTCAGACAATATAACCCTGTTGTCTTGCCATAATGATAGGCCCGTTGCCCCCCTGCGTGTGCGTGAACGTGTCTCGGAGTGTGTGTTCTCGCTCCACAGAGAGAGAGAGGGACTAGAAGGGGCGGGGAGGCACAGTAGAGGCGGAGGAGGAATGCGAAGCTCCATCCAGTGCTGAGACCAGGAGCATTTGCGCAGATAGCCTGCGCTGCCTTCATCAGACACACAGCATTTCACACAGGGAAGTTTGTTGTTATTTTTTTGTCCCCGCTGTCGATCAATCCGCCTGCAAAGTTTCTGCGAGGAGCAGGAGCAACCAACCGCTGCTAACCGGACTCGTGTCAGCAGCACCAGGGATTTACCATGGTGATCAAAGTGTACATAGCATCGTCCTCCGGATCCACTTCGGTAAGGGATTATAATACTAGCATTGCTTTTATAAATGTGCTGTTTCAGCTGGATTCACCTGCAGCATCCAGTGCTTGTTAGACAATAGAAAAGGCAGCTAAACTTTTATTGAGCTCAATGGCCATGCAACTGTCATCCTCTCCATCTGGAGTGGTCTGACTCCTCATGCAGCCAAACTTTGGACACAGATGGGCTTTCCACCTCTCTCTATTGTTCCCCCTTTAACTTTGTCACAGAGAAAGAGACAAAGAGGAAGTTTGATGCTGCTAACTGAATAGAGAAAACCTCTCACTGTTTGTCACAGGGTTTACTCAATTCACAGCTCTGGGTTTTTGCAGCTGAAAGCAGGCTGACAAACAGGAATGGCATGCAGTTAAAAATCCATAAATGTACTTAAAAGGTCCTGTCCAGTCCCCTGATACCAGGATAGGCTGGTTCACAGTCTGTGTGTCTGATAGCAGGACACACATACATTATATGTTGCATTCACTGTCCTGCAGCCCCATCAGCTTCAATATTGCATGTTTATTCCAGAGTGGAGAGGAATGAAGGTGATGCAATTCCCCAGGGCCACTTCTTTAAACATGCAGCTGCAGCCCAGGACACTTAAGCTCTATTTAGGACTTGTTGGAGGTCTTGATTTGTAGGAATTTGCTATTTACTACTATAAAAGTGTAGTAAATGGCCCTATCCTACTATAATAGTGCACACATTTAGTCTATTCTTGCATTTTTTTCCCCCACAGCTAACACAACAATTCTTATCTTAATCAGCAATATTACTAGCAGCAGATTAGTGTGTCATAGTGTAAAATAAAAAGTGATGGAAATGTAACAGCCTTTCGATCAAAATCACTTAGTTAAAAGTCTGTGAGGTCACATTCAGGATGATTTACCCTCATTGGGCAGCTTGTCTTTGCAGCTCACATTCAGAGGAAGTAATCAAGCATGAAGCCCGTTTTCAGTTGGACAGCTCTGAGCGACTTTATTGCCCTTACAGTAAATGACATTTGCAAAAGTTCAACAGCAGCAGCAGCCTTACAGGACGGGAGCTTCCTGTAAAGCCAGAGCGGTCTCAGGGACGCATCGCTGTGATGGAGCCTGTCTGGGAAAAAGGCATTACCTCTCATTGATCTGTGTTAAGTAGAGTCTTCTAGAACAACTGGACATATGTATGTCCTTGTAAAAGATGAAGAGAAACACATATACTCATATCTTCCTCTCCAGATCTTCTTTTAGAGTTGGCAAAAAAACAATAGCATTACTGATTAAAGTAAAGTGCCATAAAAAGATCGTTTTTTTCTTGATTTACTTTGCTATGATGACATATTTCGTAGGTCCAACATAGATATAGGATATGCTGTCACTTTGTAGAGTTTATTTTAATTACTCCATGTCTGATTTAAATACATTCTTTATATTATTATCTCTCTCAATGCAATGTCTGATTTTGATGTGGTCCATTAAAAAGAGATATTCAGACTAGTAAAAAAGCAAAACAATGTGATTGCATTCCACTATCTACCAGTGTGCTGATACATGAATCACTCCAATGTAGTTCGGCATGTGAATGGAACAAGGGCCAAAACAGACAGACAAGTAGGAGTATTTCAAAAAGCTACGTTCAAAGTCTTCGCTCCACTGAGGAAATGATTGCAGGTCACAGAGAGACACAGTGTAAAATTAGCCAGAGGGAAGTATCATATTTAGCGCTCGACAAGCTAAAAAAAGTCAGCATTATTCAGGCAGATTTGTATTCTCCGAAGATATAAAGTTCGGTTCAATGTCAGTGTATATTTGTATCCATTGTTGGTATTTATTTTAAGCAGAAAATGATCCATATAACAGCCAAACGTAGTGTTTTAAGGTTTAATTGATTACATTTCTAATATAAGACAACCAAAGCTGATTTGAAGAGGGTGTGTTCTAACGCACAAAGGTTTGATGCACAGAAGTACAGTATGGAAATTACAGACAATAAAGAAGTTAGACGAGTTCTGTCAACATGATTGCACCTCAACATTTCCCCTTTGTATTAATGGTTAATATATCAGGTCAGTCCAATTTTATATTCCTGGAATATATGCTATCTTTGTGAAGCTTTGATGCTGTATTTCTGGAAATAATTATGTAATGAGAAGCAGAACTTTTGAGTCACCAGGAGAAATGGTGTTGTGACTCGCTGTGAATTCTCCAGAGAGACTTCTAGGGTTACCGTCAATGGCTTTGTAAAGATAAGGGCATGCATGGTATCTGCTTCATATGCTGCATTTTAACAGCATGGAACAGTTCGGCTCTGATCAACTCAACTGTCTTTCTTTGGTTTGCCGTTAGCATAAGATGTGGATAAGAACTTAGCCGATACTAGAAGTAAGAGCAAACCACTGATTGGTCAGAAACTCATCACCAAGGCAACACGGGACATCCTGCACAAACCCGCGACTTGTAACTAGCCAAGCTACCATCAATAGCGAATGCAACTTCTATTTTTCACTCGGCCCAATAGAATTTATATAATTTATCTAGTGAAGTGTTCAAAATGATGTCACAGCAGTTTCGAGCGGCATCACTTTAGCAATCAGCTGATCACCCCACCTATACTGAGGGGGTTCTATCTTCAGTGGAAAAGGAAATAAAGAAAAGCACCTGGTACTTTTAGTGAGTCCGAGCACAGGTGTACCACACAGTTCAAACAGGGCATTAGGTTACATTGAGGCCATGTTTGAATAACAAACTAAGATTTTCATTTAAATTCACATATGTAAATACACACGTGTACCAATGCATCTCAACTGTGGAGCACTAATGGAAAAGAGCCAAAAACCTTTGCCAGCACCATATGTACTGCTCCATTTCCCTTTATGTGCCGCAGCAACACAAATGCCACATTGCCACAATAAATGTACTAAGAAACGGTAACAGCTTTTTATGGCTATAAAGCATTGTTTACGCCCAACTCTACTGCGCTCTGATAAAGATTTACTGTTCTTCTTCCACTGTACTTCTGACATCAGGGCCTGTAAGTCAGGCTTTAGTCCGTGAGTCTGTTAGTCTGTATAAAGTGTTATTTTCTGGCCTTTTAGCAGTTAAAGAAAACCCAGCCAAAGCAACAGTGTAATGCTCTTTTGTAATAATGTTGTAATGCTGCCTGTGCTCTAGATTGGGTGGAGGCTACTGTTGCTGCTTAAATTCCACTGAGCGTTGATCTTGATATAATCAAGACAAAACCTTTATCCCTACCAAACAGACTTGCCTGGAGTTGAATCGTGTTTCCTGAAACAAGAAAGTAGATGTTCCTACATTAAAACATTGGACACTCATGCCAATGCCATTAGAAAAGTCATTTTGTCTGCAAAGAATGCTTGACAAATTAAGTTTAAGTGTCTTTTCCTTTATGTGTGACTGATTTGCACATGGATTGACCCCATTCCATGGTCGACAAGGCTGATTGAATCAGTCTCCACTGTATTGATCCAAGCCTGTGCTGTACATACAGTGCATCCAATCAATGCCTGCCATTGTCTGGCAGCTGTTAAAGCCAGAGTTATACTATTTATACAGGGATTGATCAACTCTGGACCTGATCTCATGGCCCTGCCACAGCTCACATGGTCATGAGGATGATGATGACAATGTGGAATTTAAACCAAAGAGCGTGTGTTGCAGATTTCCTCTTCAGATCTGTGTTCTTTGTTCGTTTGCCTTCTAGGATAAGGATCCATGCAACAATATCTATTACTTTTTTCTTACTGATGTTTAATTACTCATTTTGAATAGTAACTGTATTGGAAACTAGAAGGGCACTAGTAGAGCGCAGACCTCAGCCAACTGAAAAATGTTTGGGTATTTAGTTCGAGCCCGTGATTTGGATACGCTCCAAAATGTAATGAGTTCTTCTCTGGCCCTTACTACAACCTTCCATAAGGGTTTATGAAAATCGGGCCATTTGTTTTTCCGTAATCCAACAAATCAACAACTCAAACCGAAAACATAACCCCCTTGGGGTTGGTAATGAATTAAGCAAACATTTGAATGTAAAAATAAAAGATCTTGAATAATTTAGAACCCTTTTAGTGTGCTAATGACCATTCATATTGTCAGATGTATATATCCAAAGGCAGTCATCTCTTTTCAGACTTTATACACATTCAATCATCTAATGATTGCTTCTCTAGTTCTTCCCCCGGTGTGTACGTGGACGTTCTTTGGAATGTGATAACACACCAGTAAAGTGCCAGGTCAGTGCTGATAGAATTAATATCAACAAGAATTGAAACAAGCATTTGTTTCATGCAGTTTCTGTGTCTATGTATGGAAAGAAGATTTGAAAACTAAAGTAAACTTTAGTGGAAATTACCATGGTAACACCTTAATGTTCAGAATGCTAGCATTGTCATTTTTCAACATGTTAGCATGCTAATATTAGCATTTAGCTTAAAGCACCCTGCACAGCCCTCAAAAAGCTGCTATGCTCTATACAAGAGTCTACTACATGGTAGTTCTTGAGGAATTGTTGATTTATTTATTATCAAATGTAATGGCAATCTACGGTTGTTAAGCATTCTGGATCGAAGTAGCCTACTGACCAACCATTGCCATCCACAGAGCCTGGCTAGCATGGCAAACACAGAAGGGTTTCTGATGGTTCCATGCCAAACAAAACCTACACCACAGAGACACAGTGTACTCAATATCAGTATATATTTGCATACCAGGGCAAGCCATTTAGATATTGTGAGCATGGATTCAGTAAATAGTAACCTGAGGCCTACAGGCTCTGCCTTTGGAAATGGAAACATTCAAAATACTTCCTCAAAGGGCTTTTTAAGCTCACCTCAGTTTTTTTTCTGTCACTTTTTAAAGATGTGTTCATTTGCTTAACCATGTTTTGAAACACCTTTTCCAAATAAGTTCTGATGGAGCGACATTGACCTGACATGATTGATCAGTGGTTTCAATCAATTTGTGGTTTCAATCAATTTGTCTTTGCCCTGGAGATCATCAAACATGGCCAATATTACATCTCCAAGGTGCCTTGCATAGCCAAGGTTATTTGCTCCAAAACTGTTTTGTAAACATGCTGAATTTGCATTTCTTGCAAAGTCCACCTGAAATTAGCTGGACAAGTAAATGGAAACACCAACCTGGCTCATCTCCCTCACTCTCTTTTTTTTCCTTCTAGCATTCCAGAAAGAGAGATAAGGAGTGACTAATACAGGGCAACAGGAGAAGATTAGTTGTTTATTGACACACCCAAAGACAGTGGAAGCCTTAAGTCTTCTTCCATATTCAAAATCACCAAGAGCTTAACCTAAGACACCAGAGAGCCATTCACAAGGGAGTAGGGGGCAAAGCTGGGAACTCTCACTGTGCAATTACAGTTAGGGGCCAGCTCGCCCTACAAATTAATTTTACTTGGCAACAATCCAGGCTTTCAGGGCAATGGCCAGAGTGCACACAAAGAAAGGAAAAGGGAAAAAGTTTTGCTTGTCTTTTGAGGATAGAGTCAGTTTGTTGTTGTTTTGGGTACCAACGTCATGTGTACAAAATGGAAAAAGAGATGATTGTCTGTGTTCAGAGAAAGCCAGTGAAAGTGATTCTGAACTCTTGACGTCCTACTCCGTTGCTCCGCCCCGCGATGGTTTCCAGAGCAGGTGGGCAAAGAGCTTGTTTTAGGACTTTGGCCAAGGGAGTGCAACTAAATGATTCAAACTGCACCACGGCTAATCTGCCAGCAACGTCAGCTCCCTCATTTCCATGCGTTAGTGTTGTTTCAGCTGAATATGAACTCATCCACCTGTCTCTTCTGCAACATAGAGTGGGAGGAGCCATGACGTGGAGGTGTCTGGACTGACAGGAAGACAATACATTGATTATAAACCAGAGAACCTTGTTGTGCTTTTACCATGAGGTTTTAGGTGTGTGATCTTGTGTGTGTGCAGCTGAGGCTGGTGGTTGTGTGTCTCCGTGCAGCAGGCCTTATTTGGCTCGTGTTTGACCAGTTACCTCCTCTCAAGTCCCGGAGGAGCTCTTGCTTCCGTGTGGCCTTGTAGGGCCATCCTCCCTCTTACACACACCCACTGAGATCTCAGTGGACTGCTGTTTCATACACTTAATAACACACACACATCCATAAAGATAGAGGCAGAAGCAGGAAGAACACATCCAGACAAGCACGCATTTCTATCCAGTCTGTGGCTTTTTTTAATTGCCTTACTGTTTTTACTGTCTGTATTTGGGTTACTCTGGGACACACCTAGAAATAAGGGAGAACCATATCGTGTCATTCTTGATGCCTTTTTACTTCCTGTTCAGTTATACAGTTAGTGTTTTGCATCCTCTTACATGACGTGTGGTTTTGCATCACGCAGATTAGACTACTTTTCAAAGTGTCACAAATAGGTGTTAGATAAAGTGTTAAACAAAGTGCTTTGCCAATGCAACAGAACTGCCTTTGTAAGAATGGGGAGCCTTCAAAATTAATCACATGAAATCCTTGATAGTAAGAAAGAACTTAACTCTGAAGTGTGGACTGCCAACAGAGTTTCTTTGTGGGAAATAAGCTCACTGTAAGTGCGGCAAGTTACAAACGCTTTTGATATGGTTGTATTTGTTACTATAAAGTGAGGAGGATGAAGGCAGTCTAATCTTAGGAGTTGCCATCTTCCTCACTATCTGACATTTTTCATGCAGATAAAAGACTAAGCATCTCGGCTTAGCCTTGCCCGAGTTCACCTTTGTCAATGATCTGGTTGTATCACTTCATGCACTTCTCAGTAAACGGGTGGTAACTTAGTAACAGAGCGGCAAGCAACCATTTCTCACTTTTTTGCAGCAGACCGATGACAGTATGGTGAGCAGAGGGCCTTATGTTTCCTCATAAGTCTGAAAGTAAACACTTGTCTAACTGACAACTTCCCCCATGTCACCCTCTCTCGTCTCCCCCGCACGCAGATAAAAAAGCAGCAGCAGGATGTGAAGGGCTTCCTGGCGGCGAATAAGATCGAATTCGAGGAGTGTGACATCGCGGCGCACGAGGGCAACAGGAAGTGGATGAGAGAGAATGTTCCGGAGGAGTCTAGGCCGGCCACGGGGAACCCTCTCCCCCCACAGATATTTAACGAGAGCAAATATTGCGGGGTGAGGCACACATGCATGTGGATTATGAATTACAGAACTAATTTAATATGTCACACACAGAACTGTAGTTCATGTTCTCAGTACACACAAATCCTGCATGATGGGTTTTGAATGCTTATTCTGAGGTTTAAATATGTTTAAAGCTGCACTAATCAGCAAATTCATATAAACAATAGATTCAATTACTAGAATTGTCACGCAGATATATTTTTTTTATGGCCTACAACCTCACTGTTGTCAATTTTAGCAAAAAATAAGTCGGATAAACTCATTTGGATGTATCAAAAATTCAAATGTTTCGCTTTTTTATGATTTTAAGAGCATATTCTCGGCTTGTATGAAGGTTATTGGGAATATGTGTTTATGATACTTTTGCCACAGTCTGCAACCTTTTGAGCACCTAAAAATATCACGATCAGTTGTATTTTGCTCCACCCTCTCATGTCACTTCTGGGTGCAAAAAACAAGATTGGGATATCCCAAAAACACAATATGCCACTGACCAAAACGCCATCTGCGAAGCTTCGAAGTGGTAGTCTATAAACCTACCTTTATACATCTTTTTGATATACAGTCTATTGTTTGGACAGAGGCAGTTGACACATATCCACCTGCTTCCAGTCTTGGAAATAAAATGAGCGTATTTATCAAAATGTCAAAGTATTTTTGTTAACAAAACTTGAGAAAGGCAATTACACAGCCTTCTCTCTGTGTTGGCAGGTGGTATTTTGTTCCCATTAAAATGACAGAAGTATAAGTGGGATGACTGTAAGTGAAGTTGCAGAATGGGCTTTATAAAATGTCACTGACAAAGAAAACAGCCCCTTTTATCAAGATCTGTTTGTGTGTGTGTACCGGTATGTGTGTGTGTGGGAGCCAAAGGAGTGAAAACAAAGGAATGAGACGGAGTGAGGGATCAGGAATGAAAGAGACAGCAGGCAATTAAACAGTAAACTGGTGAATGTGTTTGCTTGTTTACCGTGGGTAACATTCTCAAAGACAATACCCTCCTATCAGAATCAATACAGAGGCCTTTCCTTGGACAAATACCACAACCCCGACTGATTCTCACAAAGAGTTCTTCATGCATTGCCGCCCAGATTGTCACCCTGAGGCACTGATCCCAGGCCTGCTTCACATTATCATTCCCCAGGTTGGACTTCATCCACTCATCGATGTTCATTTTTGAAAACTTCTCTCCGTGTCTTCCTCTGTCTCAGAACTACGAGGCCTTCTTCGATGCCAGAGAGGATAACGCCGTGTATGCGTTTCTGGGTCTGACCGCTCCCCCGGGCTCCAAGGTGAGCTTATGAAGAAAAAAAAAACACACACACTGATATCTGTCCGTTATTTGAACCGCATTCCTAGAGCCATGTTTCCTGTAACACCGGCTTACTGGCCTAAATATATATTTATCCAACCCAGTGTAATGTCCTTACAGAAACACACATATTACATAATACATCTGTTCCTCATATCCCTACACCCAGACAGGCGTCCTCACTCCTTCACGCTGGCGCCTCCTATGTGCCGCAACAGGAACTGCAGGGAGGTGTGCCAGTTACCATAGAAACAGAGGGGGTTTTCCTCTGTGCCGTGGCAGGGGATGTATAAACCAATATCCTCCATTTTAATATAACCCGCTCTCCTTTCTCCCCCTCTGTCTCTGCCTCTGTTTTCTCTGCAGGAGGCCGAGGCTCTAGCGAAGAAAGCCCAGCAGTAGCAGCTTTGCGTGGTTTCTACCTGAGACCTGAACCCAGACCTGGAACTGACCCAGGACAAAAAAGAAGAAGCAACATTTAAATCGGCATATAAAAATGTGGACTGTTTTGATCTATTTCACTGTTTTTTTCTATTAATCTGTGTTCAGCTGTGCCTTATCAGTTGTAGTGAGAGGAGGTACTAAAGCAGAGCATTGTGGGTATCTACAAACCACTCTGCTTCCTACAGTTTAACTCAGCCTGTTAAGCCTATTGGCCTAATGACATGTCAATCAACCATAAGCTTGAAGATGTAGCTTAATTTTTTAAGAACACATCATTAGACACAACAAAATGTACACACTTTCAAAATTGTAACACAGATTCATAATTTGGACAACAAATAAATCACCCATAAAACATTTCCTAACTTATTTCACCCAACTAGTTAGAATAATTAGAATAAATTGTATCTGTTGACATTGAGTGAGATGCTCCTGCCAATCACATCATCGCCAAACCTGCAGCACCTTCTGTAAAAGTGATCCTATACAATCCTAATCTCTCTTTTTTATTTACATTATAATGTCTTAATGCTGTTTTAAAAGCAGACTTTTTTCTACAAGATGATGTTTGTTTGCAAATTATGCCAAAATTACAAGTCTGCATAAACAGAAGGATGTGAAGCTGAGTTATTTTGTTTAATTTGTTGTAACGGTTTTTAGGGGAGTTGGATAGCTTTTGTTATGCTATAAGCATCCTGTGTTACCTTGTGTTGGTAGTCCCTGTTTTTCATTATGTTCTCTAAAATAAAATAAAATAAGACTTCAAATGAAAAGCCTGACTTTTGGTACTCTGTAGTGGTTGTGATGAAATTAGTTTTAAGCCTTTGTGTAACACACTGATTTTATGTAGGAACATATTTTGACTTAAATTTGGGTTGACTTTGTGTGCTGGCATTCAAGTATTTGCTATGCCAGATTGTATTGTTTTAGAAGGAAAAACACTGTAAGAGAAAGCAGGATTAGTTTTGAAGAAGTCATCGCTCATTGAGTTCATTCTATGTTTGTTTAGTTGCAACACTTTACAGATATTCCCCGGAATGTCTTCTCACTGCTTCTCAGCAGTTTTTATATCTGTGTATTTTTTTTTAATAACTTCCCCATTTGAATATGTTTTATTATTACTCAATCACATTATAGGTCAAATGTTGTGGTTTAACTACAGTACATTTTTGTGATTTCATACTTAACATGAGCTAATTAAATATTCAAGAATACGATTGCATTACAACGCGTACCTTCAAACTGATATCAGATCATCTGCATGTATGTTGACCTTTCTTTGGTTATCCATTTGCAAAATAATGGTTTTAAACATCAGAGCCTGGATTCCAGTGTTGTGGTACAACTTGTATTGCATTTATTGATGTTTTTAAATCCAGGTTTTGTAGATGCAAATATGCCTACGCTTACCGTAACCAGCACCAGCAACGGAAAAAGGGTCCAATGAGACTTTTTTCACCCCCAATTTGAGGTCTTATGGGTATTTAAGTCAGGTATTATGGTCACAATCAACTATTAAGATCACTTTCTCTGGTGTTATTTACAATTGCACACGGTCCCGAAATACACCCATGCTCAAACAGGACTATAGACATGCACTAACGGAGAATGGCAAAGCGAAAAGGCTGCCAGTGTACCGCCGCTTGGGAGCAGTTGGGGGTTGATGCCTTGCTCAAGGGCAGTGGCCAGAAACAATCTGGCGCCTCTCCATCTACCAGCTACCACACTCTGTATTTTGATCCAAACTGGACTCGAACCGGCGACCCTTTAGTTACCAAGCATAGTCCCTGCAGCCCCTTTTTCTTCATCTGTAATTCATATGAAATTAAAGTACTCCGACATCCACATTCATTTTATTATGAATTGTGTGTAAAGTTTGAATGTGCCATTCATTTAAATTCTTTGTCTAACCCTACTAAAATACACATTTTTCTGAGTGAAAATCACAACAGTCTGTATCAACAGGAGTCATGATGCTTCGTTGGCAGCCCTTTGTCCTTAATGCTTAATGCAGAAGAGTCTGTTTGAGGCCAAAGAGGGATTTGCTTTCCAAACTTCTCAGCTGGTTTAATTTAAACAGTCCAATATCTGTCAAAAAAGTTGTATTGTTGTGTGTAGCAGAACATTTATTTTTCTATCCCTACTATTTGAATGCTATCACGACCCCACAGATGTACTCTTCAAAGGGTTCCAACCCCAATGTTGGAAAAGCCATTTTAGTTTACATAAAGTAACTCCAACTTGACAATTCTCCCACTGTAACATGCTACATTAACACCAGTATAAACAATGCATTAATGTAATACATTATAATATATAAGTCACTAGTTAGAATACTTTAAATGCCTTCAGAAATACGTCCTCACATTCACTGGGACGGTTTTCTCATAATGGAGTATTTGTAGATGTTGTGTTGTTTCTTCGACTTCTGCCCGTTTGTTCACAATATAAGTTCTCTCAGAGAGTCCATAGTATGCTGTTCTCCTTTCTTCAACCTGTGATTTTCAGTTACAGATTAATAAAGGAAGTATGTGGGTGGAGGCACCAGTTCTCAGTTGCAGAAGTGAAACAAGCTAGTAGAACATTACATTTGCCATTTGTACTTAAGACTGACAACCATAAGGAGCAACGGCGGGTAGAAAGAGACAGAAAATAAGAGGACAGTCGCTCTGTGTCATGTTGGCAGAAGGTTTTCTCAGAGTGCTGCATTACAAGGAGGAGAAAAAGTCTGCCTCCAAGAAACAGAGATCACAGACTCCCTGTACGGATTCCTTCAGAAGCTGTATTCTCTCTGAGTCAATCTCCACAGACCTACAGGCAGAGTCAGCAGAAACAGGTAAACAGCCTCATTACAAACATACAAACTGTCTAATGTAGTGTTACGTGTAACTGTTTATAATGTGAGTGGTGTACTGGTGTTAACTTCACACAATCTACTTTACTTGCTTCCCTTTTACAAAAAGGCCCTTCATTTGTCAGATATATTCTTGCTAATGCTTTCATGCTAAATAGCAAATAAGTCACACTAAACCATGAAATTAAATTGTATGGAAGCCATAAACGGACATTTAATTCTTTTCACATCTTATATTTTTTTATTTCTAAGTAATGTGTTATTTCCCTGATTCAGGATCATTTTCTTAAAATAATTTCCAGCCATGATAAAAAATGTTTCACAGATTCATTGTGAGCCCAAGGCGTATATCTTACATTTTATATTTCGAGATAATAAAGAAAATAACTAGTGTTCTAGAGAAAACCAATAAAACTTGTTGTCACAGGAAATTGAGGAAATAAAATATTTGAACTTTTACCGTTACCTGTCATTTTGGGAAACAAAATGTACAGATGCAAACATGTATAACTTGTGAGCTAGAAAAAAACGAATAAAAGGAACTTGCTATAACAGGTAATCGGATGTCGTAAAGATTTGAAACATGGCCGCTTTTGGCTTCCATAGCATACCCAAATAACCATTTGACTTCCTTTGGTCAGCTCTAAACCAGGATGAACTAGATCCCAACCAATTCCAGGGCCTGAAAGTGTTGCCTCAAGGACCTGCAGGCCTATCAATCCCTGGGTGTCCCCCTGTCCTCTATCTGGGCCATGACCTCACATTGGGCTTACAGGACTGTAGCCTCCTGGAGCAGTACCCAGACTTGCAGGTGGCCGACAGCGGTCGCATCTCCTACATGACGGGCACTATCCCCCAGCACAAGGAAGACTCCTGGCAATACCAAAGATGCGCAGCCCAACAGGGGCCACAAGGCAACCACCATGCCTCCATACCAGACCAGGGGTATCTGGTCATGGGGGCCAACAGTGTGAACATCAGCATGGATCTGCCCGGGTCAGGGTTGGAGCCGATGTCTAACTCGCTGCTGAACGGGCTTCTGGAGAAACAGCTGGAGGAGGTGTACATGCAGCATCTGACTGACAACTTGGCTCGATGTCACTCCCACCTGGGGAACAGCCTCCTGCACGGCCTGGTTCCTCTGCCTGGGACCCAGCCTCAGGGCCCGGATTCACTGGAGGCCAGTCTGGAGCAGGGGTCAGGAGGGGACGGCGGCAAGAAGATTAGTTATCTGAACACTCAGAACTTAAATCCCTGCTCGTCCAACTTCAGCTCCCCGGTGCTGAGGATTTCAGAAGCTGACAGTACTTATCTGCAATGAATCACTCCTGCAAAAGAATGAAATGTGACGCTCCACTGGGCTTTTTTGCTTGTCTTACCTCCAAGTTTACATATACCCAAATGCAACTAAAACATGACAAACAAGTGCAGTTCAGTTAATCAATGCATGCTTTTATTTTGGTTTACCTTTGTTTACTTGCTTGATCAAATATGCCTCAAATGTACCTGCTCTCATGTGCCATCTGCTGTCAGCTTTGAAGAACTGCAGCATCCTACTTTTCCATGATACACATTGGAATGTATTGACATATAAGAGGGCGTGTGCATTTCGTTTTTTAAGGCAAAGTCTAATCCAGTGATATATTTAGATTTACAACGCACATTGAATTTGCCTTGTAAATATTGATCTAGAGAAATAAAACTAGTTACCAGTTTGCAAATAATAAATTGTGTCTAATTCTGCTGTTTTTATTAGCTGGTATAAATGTGGTCTTTTATTCTGAGTGAATAACATTTTCAAATTCAATATTGTGCCGCCATGTCTCACTTTTGTAAGTGATGTGCGTCTCAATAATATTTCGAAACAAATGACATGTATTAAATGCTGAAGTAAAATGGGTTGACTGTCTAATTTGTACGATTACTTAATCATACAAAAAAACAGATGTCCACATAAGGATTTTGTTAAAAAAAAAGTCAGTGTAATTTACATTTTTATTTAGCTTCTAGTTTGTGTTATTGTTGTCTAATAATGTTATATCAGGTGTATGAAGAATGAAAACAATATTATAACTTTTTGTCAGATTTTCCAAATAACACATGATCTGCAACATTATGCTGTGAAGAAATCAAAGGCAATAATACTTTATAACTCGGTATTATGTACGTTTTTTTGACATAAGCCCTTCCTGCAACCCATTATAGATAAACCTGGAGGTAAACTAGCATATTCAGGCTGTGAAATGAATTCTAAAGATTAAAGGGTGGTTTTTAAGGACAAATGGCCATTTCAGGTACAGCTGAAATAAATTATGAAACTTTGGCTAAAGCACAATTTAAATTATATTTAAAGTGTCTTCACGCCTTCAGAATATCTCAATGTAAGCAGATATTACTTGAAAAACAAACTTTCATGACTTTAAAAACACTGAATAACAATGCTGTTGAAGGTTTAAATAACCAAATAAAGGTTACTAAGCTATTTCAGTCAGACAACTCACGTGTTCTTAATATGTTTATTATTGCAGCATATAGTTTGAGTTTGGCGTCTAGGCTCGGGCCTCATCACTCCACAGATTTACAAAGAACATTGAGTGATGATTAGATAACTATCCCCCGAGCCTACAGGTGGAAGCTGGGGGGAAGCTGGGGTGGAGCTGGGGTGGTGGTGGGGGCAGGCAAGCAGCAGCAACATGAAACACAGCAGCAGGAACATGAATGCAGCAATAGCACGTGAACACAGCCGTGGCAGCAGCAGCATAGCGAGGCAGAGGCAGGAAGACCTGGCAGCTTAAATAGAGCGGCATGTTTAGGAGAATGTGTTTGGTTGGTTGTAAGAGGGACGAGGTGCGTCACGTGTTAATGTATCATTGGTGCTCGAGTTGACTGCCTGAACTAGCTCGCAGGCTTCGCCCCATT